CATACATACATACATACATACATACATACATACATACATACATACATACATACATACATACATACATACATACATACATACATACATACATACATACATACATACATACATACATACATACATACATACATACATACATACATACATACATACATACATACATACATACATACATACATACATACATACATACATACATACATACATACATACATACATACATACATACATACATACATACATACATACATACATACATACATACATACATACATACATACATACATACATACATACATACATACATACATACATACATACATACATACATACATACATACATACATACATACATACATACATACATACATACATACATACATACATACATACATACATACATACATACATACATACATACATACATACATACATACATACATACATACATACATACATACATACATACATACATACATACATACATACATACATACATACATACATACATACATACATACATACATACATACATACATACATACATACATACATACATACATACATACATACATACATACATACATACAACACACACACACAAACACACACACACACACACATACATACACACACGCACACGCGCACACACACACGCACGCGCGCGCGCAGACATTCAAATATATATATATATAAACACACACATACATGTCAATTTGAAGAGTTACCTGTTTATAAATATTTGAATGACGCAAGTTAGGTAGTAAATCGAGCCAAATCTGCTTTTGTCAAACATGCGTGGGCTGAAGACGAAACAAAAATGGCACAGTTCCGATATAATTGACAGAAACAGGGCGGTAACCTTACACCCGTGCGATAATTTTTCTGGTTATTACAAAAAAGGCTGGCAGTTCAAAGACCCGGTAATTTACGTTATCCTTTGTTGAGGGAAGGTTTCATATTTACTGTTGACGCGGGGTAATTTACGTTATCCTTTGTTGAGGGAAGGTTTCATATTTACTGTTGACGCGGGGTAATTTACGTTATCCTTTGTTGAGGGAAGGTTTCATATTTACTGTTTGCGCGGGACGTTAACAGCAGACGTCATTTCGACACGATGAGAATAGGTCGAGTAACTTTAGAATTTAAAAGTAGTTAGACAAAGTTACGACTCATTAAGTACTTCAGGTTCGAAATCTGCAACATATTAGTTTCTATCTGTTCATTAGTTAGTTAGTCTTTCCTCTTGTGTCGAGTGCGGCACATAGGGCAGAGGTCGCGACTCTCCATGCACGGCGGTCCGTTGCAATCCGTTGTAGGTCTTGGATGTTTGAGTGGCCCATGAGCGAGCCTTCCCTGGTGATAGTTCTACGTAGGGTTTCCCTTGGTCTTCCACGAGATCTTTTCCCCTGTGGTGTCCAAATGAGGGCTTGGTAAGGAAGTCTTGATTTATCCATTCTGTTCATGCTGAAAAAAAAATAATAATTGGAATTCGATGATGATGAGGATGATGATTACGACGATAGATGATGATAATTCTTTATGAGCTAGATTAATAAAGAGAGTGAACAATGTCCTCGAATTTAGCCACCAGTTTGTGGATGTCATTGTCTTGATAAGCAATATTTTGTACATGGTTCCAATCCCTGCACCTCTACCTCCATACATCCTGTCTTCCCACCTCCCGTCTTCTCCACCTCTACCTCCATACCTCCTGTCTTCCCACCTCCCGTCTCCTTCACCTCTACCTCCATACCTCCTGTCTTCCTACCTCCCGTCTCCCCCACCTCTACCTCCATACCTCCCGTCTCCCCCACCTCTACCTCAATACCTCCTGTCTTCCCACCTCCCGTCTTCCCCACCTCTACCTCCATACATCCTGTCTTCCCACCTCCCGTCACCCCCACCTCTACCTCCATACATCCTGTCTTCCCACCTCCCGTCTTCCCCACCTCTACCTCCATACATCCTGTCTTCCCACCTCCCGTCACCCCCACCTCTACCTCCATACATCCTGTCTTCCCACCTCCCGTCTCCCCCACCTCTACCTCCATACATCCTGTCTTCCCACCTCCCGTCTTCCCCACCTCTACCTCCATACCTCCCGTCTCCCCCACCTCCCGTCTCCTCCACCTCTACCTCCATACCTCCTGTCTTCCCACCTTCCGTCTCCTCAACTCTACCTCCATACCTCATGTCTTCCCACCTCCCGTCTCCCCCACCCCTACCTCCATACCTCATGTCTTCCCACCTCCCGTCTCCCCCACCTCTACCTCCCGTCTCCCCACCTCTACCTCCATACCTCATGTCTTCCCACCTCCCGTCTCCCTACCTCTACCTTCATACCTCATATTTTCCCAACTCCCGTTTCCCCCACCCCTACCTCCATACCTCATGTCTTCCCACATCCCGTCTCCCCCACCCCTACCTCCATACCTCCCGTCTCCCCACCTCTACCTCCATACCTCCCGTCTCCCCACCTCTACCTCCATACCTTCTGTCTTCCCACATCCCGTCTCCCCACCTCTACCTCCATACCTCCTGTCTTCCCACCTCCTGTCTCCCCCACCTCTACCTCCATACAGCTTGTCTTCCCACCACCCGTCTTCCCCACCCCACTTTGCACAAACTTTATGGTTGAGCTAAGCGGTCCCACAAACATGTCGTGTTAAGTGTTCCTTGATACGTTTCGTATTACTGGATATAATATTACATTTATTCAAACAATTAAGCACATTGTAATTATTTTTTTTTATTTTTGCTGTTATTATTACGTACTTTAACAAGGTTTAGATACACAGAGACTGCTATCTAGTAAAATAGTCAAGGAGCCTAAGTCTCCTCCTGCACTGTTTTGTTTGCCTGGGCGCCCGTGTCCGTACCTACAAGTTAACAGTAACTGCGGGTGTGCTTCTCATGCGAGACCATGCTAAGGTGACAAGTTAAGATACGTGAGAGGTCCTGTGTTGAGTCTCGGAGACAACACTAAACACGTGCTGCTGAACTTGTTTTGTGCACATCAGAAATATTCCTTATTCTGTGGACGTTTTATATTAAGAAAACATTCCCGGATTATTGACACCATGCACTAACATCCAGTGCCGTGCCGGGAACCCGCACAGGTGGGCCTCGTGTGAATGCCCTAGCACATCTGAACTATTGTAACTCATTGTTTTGTTTCTATGGATCCACCATGAATCTCGTTGTCTCGTGTGGCCAATGGAGGCGTTGGAGACCATTTAGGATAATAAAGTGAGAATGTAGACATGTTTTCTTTAGTTCCTGTCTCCTCTTGTTTATGTGCACGATCAATGGAGATAGATAAAGCCTACATTGTCGTTGTGGATCGGATAGTAGAACTTGCCACAATGCCAGGATTTGCCATGTGATAATCAGCTTCCAGAGTTTTCTGGCTTGTTGGATACCAGAGCAAAATGGTGTTAGATTACGTCATCACAGTCTGGGATTCCCCGGAGCCGAAGTCCTTCAACTCTCAGGTAAGAGCTTTGACCTACATTAGAGCGTGGCTTTCTCCGGGCACCTTTGTCTACAGGTAAGACAAAGAAAGGCGCTAGCAGTGAGCAGCCAGCGAACGGGTTAGACTTTAGATCAAAGGTTGAATGTTGAAGGGAAAATTATGTTATGAATTTGTTTTCTAATCCCCATACCCACTACCTCTTTTCTCTCCCACCTCCCCCCCCCCTTTTTTTTCCCCCTGCCTCTAGGATTGTATTCGGTACTTAATTTATAACTTACCCCTGACGTCACGACAACGCCACGGGAGACATTCCCAATAAATTCTAGGGTGTTCAGGTTGTAGTTTCTCGCGATTTATCTACAGCCAAGTTGAGGGTGCGGGTTATAGGGTTAGGGTTAGGGTTAGGATTAGAAGACACTAGATGAACACTCAAAAAAAAAAAAAAAAAAAAAAAAAAAGCACACTTCCACCCCTTTAAATAATGGACTGTCAGGCCAGCTGTGGATTTCCCACGGGGATTTCGTGTTCGGGGTACGTTATAAATTAAGAACCTTGTATTCTGCCAGATTACCATTCAGTGTCTCAAAGAGCCATTTTTCGGTTGGGACTTTGAAAACAGAAAGTGCCCGACATGCTGTTAGACCGACAGAAAGTGCCCGACATGCTGTTAGACTAACAGAAAGTGCCCGACATGCTGTTAGACTAACAGAAAGTGCCCGACATGCTGTTACACCTACAGAAAGTACCTGACATGCTGTTACACCGACAGAAAGTGCCTGACATGCACAGTTAGACCGACAGAAAGTGCCTGACAAGCAGTTAGACCGACAGAAAGTGCCTGACATGCTGTTACACCGACAGAAAGTGCTTGACATGTTGTTACACCGACAGAAAGTGCCTGACATGCTGTTACACCGACAGAAAGTGCCTGACATGCTGTTACACCGACAGAAAGTGCCTGACATGCTGTTACACCGACAGAAAGTGCCTGACAAGCACAGTTACACCGACAGAAAGTGCCTGACATGCTGTTACACCGACAGAAAGTGCCTGACATGCTGTTACACCGACAGAAAGTGCCTGACACGCTGTTAGACTGACAGAAAGTGCCTGACATGCAGTTAGACCGTCTAACACATAAAACGGTGATCCACATGAACAGCAGTTTCGTTTGTGGCTTCTCATGCTAAAAACTGGGAGGTGGGAGGTGGGAGTGAGATAGGAGGAGGAGGAGGAGGAGGAGGAGGAGGAGAGAGGATTAGGTAAAATAGGAAGAGAATAAAAAAGAAAACGAAGAAGAAGATGATGAAGAGGAGGAGGAGGAACACACACACACACACAGATACACACAGAACCCCCCCCCCCCCCCCCCCCCCCTCCCCACAAGTGAAAGCAACAGCAGTTGTCCGTAGAAGTAGCAGCTCAGTCATGAGTATCTGGCTGTAGGACTTTTTTGCCAAGGAGACGTAAAACGTGGAAGTGCACGTTCTGGTCAGAGAACCAAACTACTTCTGTTGCCTGTATGAGACACAAACAAACTCATGTTCCCTGTAGTAAAATCGAAGGTGACTATGTTCCCTGTAGTAAAACCGAAGGTGACTATGTTCCCTGTAGTAAAATCGAAGGTGACTATGTTCCCTGTAGTAAAACCGAAGGTGACTATGTTCCCTGTAGTAAAATCGAAGGTGACTATGTGTGTTGTAGTAAAACCGAAGGTGACTATGTTCCCTGTAGTAAAATCGAAGGTGACTATGTTTGTTGTAGTAAAACCGAAGGTGACTATGTTCCCTGTAGTAAAATCGAAGGTGACTATGTTTGTTGTAGTAAAATTGAAGGTGACTATGTTCCCTGTAGTAAAACCGAAGGTGACTATGTTCCCTGTAGTAAAATGGAAGGTGACTATGTTTGTTGTAGTAAAACCGAAGGTAACTATGTTCGCTGTAGTAAAGCCGAAGGTGACTATGTTCGTTGTAGTAAAACCGAAGGTGACTATGTTCGTTGTAGTAAAACCGAAGGTGACTATGTTCGCTGTAGTAAAACCGAAGGTGACCATGTTCTCTGTAGTAAAACCGAATGTGACTATGTTCGCTGTAGTAAAACCGAAGGTGACTATGCTCGCCGTAGTAAAACCAAATGTCAGGTCTTGGTCAGATATGACTGAGCTGCCATGTAACTGTAGCCGGTACCACGTGTCTTCTGTTACGCCGAATGTTGGGCGGCGTATACTAACCCAAGATCCCATATTGTGCCAACGGCTTAAGGCGGGGGAGCGCATTGGGGAGGTTACTAGCCTTGTCCTAGGAAGAGGAAATGCAACCTGAAAACTTTGTGTTATGGCAGGGCAGACCAGGCCCTTAGCCTTGGCTGGCAGCTGGTCTAGGAGGGAAGCTCCGACAAGTGGACAGATAGAGCACTGCTCTTCTGATCCTGCAGCTTCTGCAACTTGCCTCGTTCCAGACGTACTGGTTTTACCTTTCCTTTGGAGTAAACAAGGCAGGTCGAGAGAGAGGTCATTATGCATGGGCAACATATGGTCTCTACAATACTGCCTAGCTTTGTGCTTTGGAGAGGATTACTATCTGCCTTTGCTGTGAATTTGGACTAACGGTCAGCAAAAAGAAGACTAAAGGTTATGGTGCATGGTGTTAATGACAGACCTACAGTCTACATTGACAGTGAATAGCAGGAGACAGTAGACCATTTTACCTATTTGGGTTTCACGGTGTATAGTAAACTATCGCTGGACCAAGAAATCAACATCAGGATAGGTAAGGCAGCAACAACAATGAGCAGATTGACAAAAAAGAATTTGGGAGAACAGAAAGCTCACAATTAAAACAAAAACCCTTGTCTATCAGGCTTGTGTTCTCAGCACTCTGCTTTATGGCAGTGAAACTTGGTCAACCTACTTGCACCAGGTGAGACGGCTAAATAGCTTTCACATGCGATGCCTAAGAAGAATACTTGGCATTAAGTGACAGGACGATAGCACAAACACTGAGGTACTGGAAACAGCAAGTACTATAACAGTCTTGTCCATGCTCAGTCTACGAAGGCTCAGGTGGCTGGGTCACGCCTGGAGAATCGAGGATGACAAGAGTCCCTAAGGACATCTTTTATGGTGAATTAAAGACAGGAAGAACATGTCGAGGCCGACCTCTGCTACGTTATAAAGATGTGTGCAAGCGGGACATGAATGATACAGGTATTTATGTGGACTTATTTAAAGAAATGCCATGGACCGTGTTGTGTGGAAAGGGCATATCAGGAAGGGAGAAGGAAGGAAGAAATGATTGCAGAAAGCATGAGAGCTGAGCGTCTGAAAAGAAACGGATTAAGCACAAAATGTTGACAACAAAGATCCTGAAATCCCACGCTGTCATTGTGGAAGATTTTTCTTGACATGGGCGGGTCTTGCTAGTCACACTCGCCATCGCCATGGGCTGTGAGTTTCATGCCTCCTCAAAGCGCAATATAACACTAACGTCTGAAAGATTAAAAGGTGCCAATCATCAGGAAAACCAAAGGTAACTATGTTCTCTGTAGTAAAACCGAAGGTAACTCCTCTGTAGTAAAACCAAAGGTAACTATGTTCTCTGTAGTAAAACCGAAGGTAACTCTATGTTCTCTGTAGTAAAACCAAAGGTAACTCTATGTTCTCTGTAGTAAAACCGAAGGTAACTATGTTCTCTGTAGTAAAACCGAAGGTATCTATGTTCTCTGTAGTAAAACCGAAGGTAACGTAACTATGTTCTCTGTAGTAAAACCGAAGGTAACTCTATGTTCTCTGTAGTAAAACCAAAGGTAACTATGTTCTCTGTAGTAAAACCAAAGGTAACTATGTTCTCTGTAGTAAAACCAAAGGTAACTATGTTCTCTGTAGTAAAACCAAAGGTAACTATGTTCTCTGTAGTAAAACCGAAGGTAACTATGTTCCCTGTAGCCTGTTGCAGAACCAGTTGTAACGTTTCGCATGGTAGCAAAACGTGAAGGTATTTGTTTTACAAGACTCCGAAATCTAAACCACGTTCGCTGTTGTGTAATATAAATGGCGTAAAAGTCCCTGATTATCCCAAATGACCTTTAGCACTCATAATGTTCTTTATTTAGAGGTATATTCGCGGTAACATTTGACCCTGCTGGCATCTTTCCTTATATAATTCCAGCCAAATACCACACAGAAGCGCGGATTGTATTTAAAACACATGTGCCGCACGCGCTCTCTCATTCACAACACATGTGCTTCACGCGCTCTCTCATTCATAACACATGTGCTCTGGGTCGGAGCCTGCTGGTAGACGGTCCAGTGACGTTACGCACGCGCCAGCACGTGTTTTGACAGGCAATGGGGAAGCAGAAAATGTCTTTGCCTGCAAATGTCACATCGACTCTGGGCGAGTGAGCACATTCCTGACCTCTGCTGCTCCCAAGCTGCGCGTGGAGTGATGTGTTCATCTGAAATATACACCATGGCATTGCGACGCTGATAACCATGTTGTGGAGGGAGAAACATGCACACCGCGCATTGCGACGATGATAACCATGTTGTGGAGGGAGAAACACGCACACCAGGGGTAGAAGGAAATGAATAAATAATGTTATCAATGTACCACAAGTGTCCAGGCCGAATTGAGATACAGGGAAAAGTTGGCTGATTGGTTGTAAGACTAATCTATGAGTCTTGCTTGATTGATTTGTTGATTGATTAGTTGCTTGAAAGATATATGTGACATAGTTGTAACTTCTGCTTGTAACATTGGTTGATTGACTAGTTGGTTGGAAGATATGTGCGATATATTTGTAACTTTTGACTGGGTGAATAACCTCTTCTAAATGTTCGAGGGCCCCACATTTTTCAAGGACACCCCCTCCCTGCCCCCCTCCCCCCTCCTTGCCCCCCTCCCCCCTCCCTGCCCCCCTCCCTGCCCCCCATCCCCCCTCCCTGCCCCCCTCCCCCCCCCCCTGCCCCCCTCCCCCCTCCTTGCCCCCTCCCCCCCTCCCTGCCCCCCCCTCCCTGCCCCCCTCCCCCCTCCTTGCCCCCCTCCCCCCTCCCTGCCCCCCTCCCTGCCCCCTCCCCCCCTCCCTGCCCCCCTCCCCCCTCCCTGCCCCCCTCCCCCAATTAAAAAGCGAGGGGGAAAAAGAGCCACTCACTCCACAAACTGTGACTAGAAAGCCCAACAAGCTTTTGGTTGGGGGGGGGGGGGGGGGGGAGAAGACGCGCACAGATTCAAGCAAATGTTTCCACCAGTATTTATATTACCCAACGTTTCTACCAAAGTCTTTATCAACAGAGTGTTAACTAAAACGTATCATGATATAAGCTCCACTCACTGCAAGCACTCCTATTTACGCGAACCTGAGCAAGCATAACGTAAATATAACAAATTAGGGATTCGCTTAAATCTGATGTTTTGTAAAGGCGCAAATATCGCATCGTAGCTTAGCACACACCACAACATAGCCTGCCCAGTGCATCTTTGAGGATATGTTAATAAACATGCCAGACATCCAAGCACCCATCTTAACTCTCCGCGCATTCACAAACGAGTTGTCCTCGAGTTAACAGTATTTGTGTAACATTCTCGCCAATCCTTTCCTCATCATTTCCATTGTATACATATGCATACATAAAACAACTTACCGAACATGTATGCGCATATATCCATTTTAAATATTCGATCACTCGTATTAGCTTAATCCTTGTCCGTGTAAAACTTAGACATTTTGTTTCCTGGTTTATTTAATCCGATTTTTAGACTCCCAACTGTCCATTGTTATGCTCGATAGCTGCCTTTGAAACTAGATATTCCTGAATGATGGTGTATTCTTGTGTTCTGATGTTTGTCCGTTAATAAAGAATACGGTGACAATCTGTGCTCGTATGCATGTCCTCGGTGTAGGCTTGTTTAGCTCTCCATGTATGTTCATGTTGGTGGTGTAGGCTTGTTTAGCTCTCTATGTATGTTCATGTTGGTGGTGTAGGCTTGTTTAGCTCTCTATGTATGTTCATGTTGGTGTTCTGCCGATGCCAGCTGGGGAGCAGTCAGCCTGGAATTTGCTACTCATGAAATGACCAACACTGTCTAGATGCCAATTATAAGCATATTCCAGATGTGAGCAAGTTAGCAAGAGTTGAGCCAGACTACAGCAGCCAAATTGCTGTCACCCACCAGCAAGTCCCACTGCTTAGACACCCATATTTCTCCGCTTTCCTAAACAGCAAATGATTGATAGCATCTTGGGTCCCACTTTATGCTAGTACAAGTAGTGCCAAACACTGACAATTAAAGAAGAACAATAAAACAAAAACACAAAATAACTGGAGTCTGTGTCCAGGATATTCAAGTGTGCGGGTGGGCAGCTACGTTACGATACAGGGAAGTGGTCAAGGCTGTCTGCGATCAAGTGGGCAGTGCAGCAAACCAGGCCAAGTAGCCGTACACTGACCAGCTACTTGAGCCAGGAGTGAGCAGGTGCTGGGGAAGATAGTCAACACTGCGGGCAAAACATAGGCGGTCTTTTCATCAGGCTGCAACATTTATTATCAGCGTACCGACTCTTCGTTGACTGCTGAAGAAGGGGACGGAGCTTCTGTGGGGATGTCCTGATTACAGGGACGTCTATTATTCATTCATTCATTCATTCATTCATTCATTCATTCATTCATTCATTCATTCATTCATTCATTCATTCATTTATTCATTTATTCATACAGAAAATATCTACCCGTAAAATCGAAGCATTAGGTAAAGGCTGGAATAAAACCGTGTCTAAGTTATGTTGACAGAAAAAAAGAATGAAATATTTCGACCACCTAGTGAGAATGCAGCCAGACCAAACTGCAAATGTCAGTTGTTTTTAGGCAGAGGAAACCACATCATTGGACTACAACCTGGCATCAATGAGAAGACAACAGAAGAAGCAGAACAAGGTAGCTTTGTAGAGGCATCCTTGAAAAGTTCCCCTGGTCGGACGCGAAAATTCTGCTACCTTCATCACCTTGCAGCTATCATTTGGACGAGACAAGTTCGAGTCCCTAGTGCCAACAGATTATTATTGTTGAAATTGTCTAATGTGTTTGATAACTCCAAGCGCGGTTCTCATTTCTGTACATGTACTTATC